GAGATGTGGTCCTAACTTCTTCTAAGAATGTTTCTCCCATAGACCTTCATCCTTCAAACCTGTATAAACTGCATATTACCGAGTCACCCACTTCACATTAATATTTAGATTTTTCCAGTGGATATATGGACTAAAAATACATACAGCATAAAAATAAAGCCTCAATAAAAACATAACAAAAGTATGTATTAAGCTTAGAATGTACAATAATTTAACTTCAGCTTCTTTTTCTGCCACCCCCCCCCCCCTCTTTCTCTCTCTCTCTCTCTCTCTCTCTCTCTCTTTCTCTCTCTCTCTCGCTCGCCCTCTCTTTTTCCTCGCTGGCTCTTTTTCCCCCTCCCTCTGAATTGCTCTATAGCTCAAAATGATAAAATTATCATTCACAAAGTACCTTACAAACTTACTGCATCTAATAATTCATAACGAATTATACAAGTAACCTATTCCACAGGTGTGAGCAATGCTTATTGTAATTGTGTGTGTTTACCCTGATTAGCAATTAGCACAGAATTGGAAGGAATAAATTGGTTGTCAAACCTCTGGGAGATGTTTAAGTTCTCCATGATATTCACCTAAAGAACCCTGTGAGTAAATATGTAGCTGACATATATTGGAGTCAATCTTGGACAATGTTGACATTCAGCATGTTTGCAAACAAGCAATTCATTACAGGCTAGCTGTAACAAGAGACAGTTGCACAACTTGAACTTTGGAACATATGCAGCATTTAGCCATGTCTAGAATCTAGTTCATTCACATTGCTGCATGAGCATTAAAGCAGGCAACATAAGATGTATATTAATTCTTGTGTGACAGAAGTATTATTTGCTTTTCCTACTAGAGTAAACTGATTATAAAAATCAAGACTTTGCCTAGAAATTGGCTGTCAAACACATTGGAATGGCCTCTCAGGTATCAAAGGGGAAGATCACCCTAATATTTAGTTGGTTTTAATAGAAGTAGAAAAATGAGAGAAACAGATGAGTAAAAGTTTGGTGTAGAAACCATGTGGAATGATAATATCAAGGGGATACGTTTTATAGAATATTTTGTTTAGAGAAAAGAGAAATACAAAATGGAAGAGGACCTTGCAAGATACGTGATAGTGTTACCAATTTATGTTTGATTGATTAAAAGGATTTTGCTCAATCTTCACTGATCTGTTTACCCAATTTGTCTGCTTCTTTTTAAACCAATTTTAGATCAGGGTGGATTTTCCCTTTAATCTTTTCATTTTACCTTCTTCTATCAACTTTTGCAAACATCATGAGCCCTCAATCTGCCACCTGAACCAATCTTTCTCTTTGAAGTCGTATTTCACACCTACGTGTATGTGCTCAAATATTTATCCCCTCTCCTAGACATACATTTGCTCTCCTTTTTATATCAACAAGTGAATGACTACAGTAACAATGAACCCATGGCAGTAAACATGAATGGAATGTTTTACATCAAGTAATAATGTGCAAGATCAATAAATCACACAAACTAATTGTGATACAAGGAAGAACGTGCTTTGTGGAATTGAAATGTTGTTAGTAATCTTATTCAACACCCAACTTGTCAGTTTCTTGCATCCAAACTATTTCATGCCGCTTGGAACATATTCAGATCATTTCATTCTCAAGGCTTAGGGTCTCTAAACAAGAAATGCTCTTTCAAATTATTAGCACAAACTTCACTGACTTAACTGCTTATCCTGTCAAGTATTGAATTCCAGTTTTTCTTTGATAAATTACTGTACTAAAAGTTTGTTTTTTCCATTCTTGCTGATAAAGTGCCCTCTGTCAAACTAAAAAAAAGAACCACCTGCCAAAAAAATACATGAATTACTTGTGTTACCATAAATAACAAATGCAAAATTTTCAGTTTTCAAAAATTGAAAGACAAGGTAACCTTGAGCAAAGAGATATCAGCCCCCTCCCAGCTTAGACAAAAAAAATGGAATTGTCATGGTCTAAAACACTCTACCTGAATCACAAAGAGCCAATCAAGTCACATAATGCTGTATTATCTGAAAAGGGGCCTTTACATTCATTCAGTAATCTGAGTCTACTTCCTAAAGGTAGGATGGTATATCAGACTTTCAACCAAAACTGGGTTAACCTAATCAGGAATTTTCTGGTACAGCAAATATCTAAATCCATCTATTTCATTCAATGATCTGATGCCACATCAACTACGCCACACCTTAGATCTGAAAGGAGAAATCATCCTCTTTAACCGGGGTAACCAGGGAGGCCTATCAATCAATCCTTTCCTTTTTTTTCTGTTCAAAACCACCAGCACATCACAATGGATTATCTGGAGAGCAGACAATCCCTCTTAATTGGGTGTTTTACTGAGAAGTTGATATTGGTCTTCATTACTTTCTTAAAGGTTTGGATTTAATGCTTTTAATGAACAGATATTTCACTTTGGGTCATGTCTAGCTGACAGAGGGGTGGGGATGAGAGTGGAGGGGAGGGGGTTAGGGAGGGGGTTAGGGAGGGGGTTGGGGAGGGCATTAAAGTAGTTTAGTCATGTTGCTTTTTTTTAGGGGGAGGGGTGAATGTCAAAGGATTCTGAACACTACATATTTTGCATTTCATTGTCATGCTTCTTGTTGTATGTGCACCTGTGTGTGTGGTGTGTGTCAATTTCTTTTGAAGACCAAGTTTTGGAAGATATTTTTCAAAAGTATCATATTCACATATCATACAAAGAAACATAAATAAATTCAGAAACTATTTCCCTGATATTTTCTCTGTTGTATCAACCTTATTATCTGATATCTTGTGAAGTGTCTGGTCCTGCATAAAGGGATTGTTGTTGTTTGTTGTTGTTTGGTATTATCGGCGTTTCATTCTTTTTTAGAATATTTACGCCTTTCACTTTATTTCTTTCTTTTTTTCTTCTATATTTTGGTACTATTTGTAAATTCATACTCATCTCTTTTTTTTTTTTGGATAATATAATCTCAGATCTACTGGTCCATGAAAACCCCTCACCGCAATTGGCACCTTCCTGCCAGACCGGCGCGGTACATTGCGCAATCTTCTCGGCCATCATTGGCCTAGGCAACTCTGGTGCCGGTGAGAGGATTCTGGGGTAGATCTCCAGAGTCTCTTGTTTGGGGTTTACCGTCCTCAATCCGTCTTTACTCTTTCTTACCTTTTCTCTTCTAGTATTTTTCCATTTTGTAAAACCTTATTTTTCTATCAAAGTAGGTATCAATATCTTAGGGCATTTGGTTGTCGTGCGATATGTGCAAAAAAAAAAAAAAAAAAAAAAAAAAAAAAAAATTAGGAACACTCAAAACGCCTCGTTCTACGAACGAAGCGGATCAGTGCTCTCTGGGTCGCACTTTCTGTTGATTTTAGGAGTTTCATAATTTCGTTTGGGCTCGTTATATCACTTTCCATTATCAGCATTGCTCTTTCTATTGTATATGTTGGACATTCCATCAGATAGTGTGTTATTGTTTCAGGGGTGTTACAGTATTTACAATTTTTGTTGGCTTGGCCAGGTTGGGTTGTTTGGGATACCCATACTTTTGAGGGGTCTGCGTTTAGTCCTATGTTGCAAAGTCTGAGCCTACGAATTATGACTTCGCAGTCTCTAAAAAGGGTGCTCTCAAAGTTATGTTGAATTGTTGGTTTGAAAGGTCTTACGTTTGTTTTATTGTAATTTTGCCATGTTTCTTCCCAACTCTTGTATAGTTCTATTTTCAATACTGCTTTCATTTCAGACAAACATAGCTTGTTATTTATTTGTATTTCTTCAGTTAGCGCTTGTTTTGCGAGAAGGTCCGCTATTTCGTTTCCCTGTATTCCACAGTGAGAGGGGATCCATTCTATTGTGCCAGACATCCAATATTTAGACCAAATAACATACAAATATTAATTTAAATAAAGTATGTTAACCCAGTAGGTAAACTCAGGATGAGACCCATAGGAAATGTATGTTACATGAAAATCAAATCCTATCCAGCCAGATGATGTCAGTTCTGGCACAAGGAAGTATTTGAACATCAAAACTATCACAGTTGCGTTAATTCAAAGAGTCACATCTTTTTTTATCTTCGGATGAGCACTCAAGGTTTCAGAAGTGGCCAAACAATTAGATCAATGGACGCATAAATAAATGGCAAATACCTGTGCTAAATGCTAAACTCTATTGACATCTAGGCCTCACCTTAAACTGGTATTTATATCTCTCACTCAATTGGGGGTTTACATACCACAACATTTCTTCATTCTTCTCTTCCCTTCTTCACAATATTTGCTCTTTCTTTAGTATTGAATGGATATTTTGGTAGCATGTTTACATTCTGACAAAAGCAGCAAAAGAGGAATTTCATCAAAAGAAATAAATTCTTTTGCATTGGTTGGTGAAATTATTTTGGAAGATATTAAGGCTTTATTGAAAAAGGTCTGGTTTCCCAGGGGTGCTTTCATGCTCAGCAGAATTTCATCTTCAAAGCTCTTCCATATCATTTTGACAGGTAAATGAATCAAAGGATAAAGGCTGATGCCAAACTTATTTTGAACATTATGAAAGTAGAATTCAGAATGTTTAAAAGAACTTCTGAAGATTTTCAAAAATGTTTAGTTACAAAAGTAGTTCAAATGGCCAGAATGTACAAAATTACAAGCCTGAAAGATTTAGAAAATGAACACTTTCTAATTGTTTGTGCCACATTCTTCAGCAAAGTGATTTACTTATTGAGTGAGAATGATATATTCTGTCATTTCCTGAAACACAACATCACCTTTAAAGGCTGTTAACAAACTCATTGAAAATAATGATGAAACTGGTCTCTGTAGAAAAGTGCATTGGTGTTGCTCACCAATTTTTTAGCTAATTATCATTTTCGTCAGATCCGATACCATTCTACATAGAACAACTTCACAGCTATAGTTATCACCTTTGTGATCATTATCAGTGGTATATGGCCATTCCTTTAAAGTACATCATTTTAAAGTCAACTGTACAAGGAACAAAGAGATGTAACATACCTGCAATGCCTGGCTGGATGTAAAGATGACAACACACATCAAAGAAAGCCACTGCACCTGTCTGTAGGCCATTGTATGCCTGTTGATAGGTACATAAGAAACAAAGAGTAAATAGAAAATACTTTTAATCCTAAGTCACATATACTGTTATAATTAAACCACCTTAAAAATAATGCAGCAAAATAAAACAATATAAATGTAGGCCTATATGAAGGGTGAATGGGGATAAGAAGTGTAGAGGTATACAACTAATGCTCCTATACTTTATTGCTTATCTGTTGGTTATAAGATAGAGAAACGTCAAGTGCGTGACCTTGGTATAAATGTTATGTTATTTTGCCACAGTATATTTTCTTTTAGGTTGTTAAAGCACGTGTGAAGACATGGCTTAAGATAAATCCCCCTGCCTATTCTGAAGCAGCATGCATCTAATAGCATTGCACATTAGCTATTCACCATCCACAATATCCAATTCAATGATTAATGATCCCTAACAAGTGTTACATGAAAAGAATTATCATCTCAATGTCATTTTGGTTCTACTTAACAATAAAGATTTAAAGAAGCATGTTACACAAGTGCAGGTGTAAACATAATCAAATGAATGATACATCTGATTGGATGACATAGCAGCTGATAAGAACTGCTGATCTTAGAATAAACATATATCCAATTATCCATTCAAAGAGAAAAACACATACAGTTTTTTTTCGAACGAAGAAGGGAAGTTTTTGGAGAGAAGGGGTAGCATACCATTTGGAAAATAGACACTCTAAACCTTCTTAAAATGATTTAGTAAAAGCATAAAACAAAATTCGTAGAAAAGGGTGCCTCAACCAGATAGTCATTTCGCCCCGATGTCGGGGGGGGGGGGGGGTGGATTGGGGTATAATCCGTACAGATGACAATTTATAATTCACAGCTTACTTGATGCTGTCAAAAATATATACAAGGAATGCATTTACATTATGAAATATAGACTTGAAGTGCCATATATATCTTTCAGATATACAGTAAATACCAAAGGAATGTAAGTACTCCAAGAGCTTGAGAAAAGGGTGATCATAAATATTACTTCGTCAATGATAGACATATTTTAGGTTTGGTTCTATTCCGCTGAAAGTCACCTTTTAAAAAGTTTTTTAAACCACCTGCAACTCACTTTTTATTGCATTATAGATCACAAAGCATTTAATTCAACCAGAATGTAAATCCACACAATGAAGCCATACCGCTGGGTTGTGATGCTCACAAAGTTGTCTGAATTATGGTGTTTCTGTGCAAATATTGATCGCAAGCTTCACCTCTAAATCTCACACCTGACTAGTCTACTTTGTGAATCCACCATAAAAAAAGATACACACAAATGATGAACATGATGCAAGTATGTTAATCAGAGTAAAAATAAATACATGGATATTTCAAAAGTGAATATCAATCAATCACTATCTCAATGGTTATATTGTATTTCACAATTTTTTCCCATAAGTTTCACACATTCCTTCCTAAGAAGGGGAATGAGAAGAAAAAAAAGATTTATTGATAGAAAGTAAAATCTGCCACAGGTCCTATATCTCTGGGAGTCAGATGGGTGTTAACTACATGCCATTCTAACTCTGAACAGACAAAGTGATCTTCAAACAGAAATGCAGCACATATAAGGTAGTTTCAGATTCTGGTAATGATTAAGAAAAAATTCTTAAAGAATCAAAGAAATGTTACACTGAATGTTCAAATGTACAAATAAGGGATACCTGCAAGAAGATTCCACTAGAAAACGCATTTAACTGTCAAGTTCATAATTTCAAAAATGTCAGGCAAGTTGTATTAGACACAGATGCATGACACATGGTCTCATATGGGCAAATGTGAGATGTGCATTTGAGTAGAAGTCATTTCTAGTAAATGTTCATAACTTAGTTTATATTTTGCTGGTCTAGCCAACTCACCTACCTCATGTAAAACAATGCAGATTTACTACGAAGTCTCTAAGCATCTCTAGAAATTGAATGCCATTACCAGAATTCAAGATAAGCTTTAACATGGGTAGCAAGATGGAAATATGAATGATACAAATAATAAAACTGTACGACTGTAGCAGGTATTGTATGGTCTGCTATAGCATTAGATTACTTGGATTGGCTATGACTTATATGTAAATTTGAAATGACAATTATTTTTATTTAAAAATTTCAATTTTCAATTGTAATGGGTCATGACTGTTTTTGAGGGGGATGTTATACTCTTATAATCACCAGTTTTATTTTTGCATCACAATGTAGAAAGTGTGTGTAAACTTTAAAAAAATAGAAATATGATAGTATAATGCCAATCTGGCAACCTCACTTCCAGTGTTATCACGATCTTTCAAAAGGAGTGGACAACTCTAGGCCTGTCTCCACTATCTCGAGATTGCCAAATATCCAGCTATTTGAACTATCCCTATCGCAAAGTAGCAATTAGCGGGATATTTGGTCGGGATTGTCATCCCAAGATATCTTGGGATAGTTTGCAAAATATTCCACTATTTGGCAAAATATCCAGCTATTTGTCCTGTGCGTCTTCACCAGACCGAAGACTCGCACTATGCGCCAACGCTGAGCAAAATATCTCGAGCTAATTTCTCAGGTTCGAGTTTCAAGTTTCGAGGTAGAATCTCGAGCTGATGACGACGCGATTTGTAGCTTCTGGATTATTTCCCAAATCAGAAATAGCGGGCTATTTGGCAATCTCTAGATGATGAGGACGCGCCTATTGAGTTTTAACCCCCCAAACCAATCCTCGAAGGGACACGATTGCGAACAATGAAAGGGAAGGAGAGGGAGACGGGAATCCCAATGGGAAAGAAGTAGTGGAATCAATGCCTCTTGAGAGAGAGAGAGAGAGAGAGAGAGAGAGAGAGAGAGAAGAGAGAGAGAGAGAGAGAGAGAGAGAGAGAAAGAGAGAGAGAGAGAGCGAGTGAGTTAATAAGCTAGGAGGTAGAAGGGCATCATTTCATTTTGATATATGTGAGATGAAACCAAGTCTTTCAAATGGAAACAAGACTGAGATTGCAGGAAGGTCACATTTTGGTCCAGATACCCCAATGGCAATTCCGAACAGAAAATAAATTGAAACTATTTCAAGCTAAAAGCTTCCATTCTTCAATACAAAACATTTATAACAGAAAAAAAGGTTGTTTGTTCTATTCATATGCAATGTAGGGGTGCAGTTGTGTACTCAAAAGTGTGCAGTACATATTTCTGTTTCTTTACAAACTTAGAAGCCTTACGGCACAAGTTTGAATGAAAGAGTGTATGCAGGAAAATATTTGTTAGTAGGAGGGAACATTGGACATATGAAATGACTTAATTGCAGGGCAGTATCAATAAGTCATCCTAATAAAGGTAATAAATTGCCCAGCTGTTGTTAAATCTTTTGTAAATGTAGCAATTTATGGGTTTGATGACCTCTGCAAAAAGCTAAAATAGCCACAATTTTTGGTCTGAATGCAATATATAATAATCATTTGGCATTTACAGGTTTGATACAATTTTTCTAAATGCCACAACAATAAAGGCTTTTGTGAGTTCCAAGTTTTGTCTACAAACCATTGCCTGGAGGAGAGATCAGATGAATGATCGATTGCAAACATTTCGGATATTACCAATTTTCTTGATGAATGCTGCTTTTCTCCTCTATTATTGATTAAATCAACATATTAAAAAATAGTTCCTATGTAGTGAAAAGAGCAGACAGCACTGCAATTTGATGTTATACGGAATCAACAATGCTATGATTTAAGAAGGCGGCACTGTAATCTGATGTTAAATGGTAACCTAATAGTAACAATGCTATGGTATCAGATTTAATCCCAATGCATTTTAGATCCATGGTTACCTAAGAATGTAAGATGAAAGGCAAGGATTGTAAACATTTTCATGGCCTGTTTGAGTCTGCACGGTGGCCTCTGGCGTCCTTGGACCATACATAACATTAGTTACCAATATGAAAATTCAGATGGATGGATTATTTTCTCTTCAAAAATATTATAATGTTTAGAGCAGTACTTAAAAACTTTATTGGTTATTCTTCTTATAATAATATGGCTACCTTGGAAGTTTGAATACAGTTCAAGTGAAGGTGGTAGAAGTGTGATTAGAGTTACAATACAAATTAATGTTTTACTATAAATATACTCTAACAGGGGCATTTCTAGTGGGGGTACGAGGGATATTTCTGTGTGCAAATTTTAAGAGGAAAAAATGTGAATACTTGAGGATGTTTGAAATTCTTCTTGGCCAACATGTCTGCATCGTTGGTCCGACACCCCCCCCCCCCCCCATTAAAAATGGTCACAATGAACTTAAATTTAAATATCATAAGAATTAGTTTATAGCAGAATAAATTTAAATTTGCACACTTGCACCAGTAACTGATGTATATTTACAGCTTTTTCATAGTATTGGCTAAGGTGGACCATTAATCTATCAGAGTACAATCTGACTATGGAGAATCCACTGCCTGTGGAGAATGGAAATGGGCATTTCTTACAATTACATGCTTTGTGTTTTATTTCAATAATATCATTTCTACACAGGCTTACACAGTCATAATTGAACCACACATGTATTAATACAGATTCATGTTGACAGCCGATATCCAAGGATGGGTACCAAATCACAATGGTTGTGGATTAACAAACAATGAGACCCAGAAGAAGAAGTCAATAGATTTGATCTGTTCTTGTTCAACAAGGACTAAATCAAGAAAGTCTTGTTACCTAATTCATACCAACACAAATGACTCCATGCTCCACACCGACCCTAGACCGAACTTTTCTGTCTCTTTCGTTCGGGTCCGACCCTACCCAATTCAGAGGCTATAAACGAACGAAAGAGACCAACATTTTCGGTCTACATCGACCCCAGACCGACCAATTATTTTCCATTCGGGGTACTGCGAATTGTTGTCCGGTCTGAGCATCTGATTGTCGGTATCCTTGGAGTGACCGGGTATCAATGAGCTTGAATTCTTAGTCTCAGTGACAGTAGTCGAACCATTAATTCGTCAAAAAATTCGGTCTCATCGATCAAAAAGAGGAAACTTCTTTTAACTTACCAAATGGATTTAGCTCGTCTGGTAAATCAGTTCTCATTCAGTAGAGTAGAAGCTGGCTCCCGAAAATCCAAATCCAAATCAAGCACAATCTTGCTCCTCCTGTTCCGTACTGCCGCTGAGCTCCGAACAGCTGATCGCATACGAAATTCACCAGATAGAACCCCGCTTCTTCAGCACACTTATGTCCGTGTGTAAAGTTGCGTCGGTTCGCTAGTGCAGGACTTTGCATCAGGTGTATTGAGCAAGGTCGGGGAAGGAGTCCCCTTGAAACCACGCCCCCTTTGAAACTTTTTAGCCAATGAGAGAATACGTTTACGGTTAATTGTAATGTGCACTTTGCTGATATAAATTAATGGAGCTAGGCGCTACCACGGGAAGAGGAAAAAAAATCTAAAATCTAGAAGGATGGATGAATAATAGACAACAAAATGCACACATTAGAAGAAGACGATGAATCATTAAAAACTTCGGTTTATTTCAAAAGGAATTCTAGGTTTAAAATGATTTCAAAACTATTAAAGGGACTTGGTAACATTGTTCAGATGAGAGATAGTGGTGCTAAGGTAGTGACTTCAATGCTAGATGTACAATTAAAGATAATCTGAAAATTTGAGTGAAAACGGACTATTATTCACGGTACATTTTGGGAAAAACTGATCTGATCGATTCCTTAATTCTCCCAACTTTATTATTACAATTTTATCACATTTTAGGTGATTGCAAATCTCACAAAGTAATAAAATGGCTGTACATTCCATTCCAGACATTTAAGTGTTGACAGATTTTTTATAGCCTGTTTTATGTATTTTTTTCATGGAAAAACGGTTGAGAAAATTCAAAAATGGTTGGGAGAATTTACTGTTAATCACTGTAAGAGGGTGCCTCACATCGAGGCTTTTAAAGAAAACCATAGATATCTTAATGGTTTGAGAGTTTTTTCAGGATTTTTTGCATGTCAGGGGGTTAGTACAGTAGAAGGAATATAGTAAGTAACATTTTATACAAAAATTAAGCAAATTTTGTCATCAACCTTCAACAATGTTACCAAGTCACTTTAAGTTTTGGACAGGCTTTTTCTGGGCCAGTCGCATGAAATAAGAATTACTAAAGAAAGTTTTATATTTGTCGCCCTCCATTTCAGGTTTCTGTTAGGTCCGTGTTTTTAGCCAGTAACTAATGCCTCTCTAAAATTCAACTGGGACCCAATCCAGCTCTCCGATTGGACTCATCTGAGGCACCAAATAAATACTCTTTAAGGATATCTACAACAAAAAAACACTGTTATAATTATTCAACATTAATTATTTTTTAAACATTATGTCATATTTAGTACGCTCTCAATGGAAATGAAAGAGAATCAATTAATTAATGGACAATGTAACCCTTATATTAAGTTCATTTGTATAAAAGCAGAAAAATAAGAAAAACAAAAGGGCGAAAGTCTGAAAATGTATCTGATCAACAAAAAAAAATGAATTCACTACCCACCCCCTCCCCCCCCCCCCCCCCTTTTCGGCCGGCGCGATTTTCAAATTTTCGGGAGCAAAAAGAAAAAAAGTTGGGCCCCCTCCCCCAAGAAATCCTGGATCCGCGCCTGCTCCCCGGTACGTAACAATAAGAAACTTTAAAACCCCACCCTACCCTCTTTCCTTTCCGCCCACACACCATCAACTTAATTATTCTCATTGCGAAGCTTGAGACTACAGAGAGACAGAGAGAGAGGAAAAAAAAGATGGGGGAGAGAGAGAGAGAGAGGGATGGGAGAGAAAGAAAGAGATAAAGAATGTGTGTGTGTGCGTGTGTGTGTGTGTGTGTGTGTGTGTGTGTGAGAGAGAGAGAGAGAGAGAGAGAGAAATAGTACAAGAGAGAGACAGGGAAGGGGGTCATTCCGCCTGCATCCAGTCTTTCCAGTTCGGCACAAAACCATAAACATTCTGCCTCAACGCCGTTTGGTCAGACATCTTATAACAAGGCACTATTCACGTACAGGTGGATTTACAGTCCTCAAATAACTCGTGCAGAGGCATTTTCAAACGGTCTCAAATGCAAACCGCTCTTTCTAACTAGCACTTTTCTTTGAAAATTAAGGACACAACACTCATTATTTTGTTGAATATTATTGCAACGCCGCCCTTCCCGAGTCATTCAAAACAAAACCCATGCATCTCTTATACAGTTTCCCCACGCATCATTCTATTCACTATCTCTTTCTGTGTCTGTCTGTCTTATTCATACCACGCACACGCACACACACACACACACACGCATACTTGTATAGGCCTTAAAACGCGGACATGTATTTCTTACTGTACAATCGTGGACATCTTTATTCAATGGCGCATGCGGACCAGATGCTAGATTATAGTTACATTTGGTACGACCATTACGAAAACACCAAGAAAGAAACTCTGCGGGCCTTCTGGAGAGATATGTTTTCCACATCCAAACTGTGGACGTACATGTATGCACATACCCTTATAGCCATCATATCCAAATGTGGACCCTGACTCCTAACAAAACACGGACCTAAGAAGACCATACTAACGTGGACACATTTTGAAAATTCAGGCAATTATGCATAATTCAAACGAATGTGACTTAAGTATGCGTTTCGGACGATGATGGAAAACAATAATAGATGTTTATGTGATAATAATAATGAGAAAACAATATAAAAAAATAATTATGAGAAAAAAATTAATAACAATAATAATCATAATACATGTAATAATGTTACTACTAATAATAATGGCAATAGTAACAATAAGGATAATAATAATGGTAATGGTAATAACAATAATAATAATAATAATAATAATAATAATAATAATAATAATAATAATAATAATAATAACATTTATAAGGCGCTTTGTACGGGTGTTTCAAAGCGCACATGTGGTCTGTCTAATCATAATACCGTTAAAAAAATCAATACATAATTAATAATAAACAAACTACTTAATTATAAACTAACTTGGTGTGCACCTCCAACAATATACTACAAAATTAAAATATAGCTGCTTAAATAGGTGGGTCTTGAGAAGGGATTTAAATGATTCAACAGATTGGGCATTTAGGATGTGAGGTGGAAGTTTATTCCAGAGGGTAGGGGCAATGGGGGAGAAGGCAGTCCCCATATCGGGTTTTCGTACGTGGGCCGAGAGTGAATTGTAAGGAGGACGATGAACGGAGGGATAATACATAATAATACATAATAATTACATTAATAGGGCACTTTAACCACGGTGGTATAATCAGTCGCATAGGGGTCCACGGTTGTAGGTTTGTAAAGAATAGGTGTGTACTGCCAAGCCTTAAGTCCACGGTAGCATAGTCTTAAAATACAGGGGTCAACTGTAGCCTAACGGCTAATGTGCAAGGGGTAATAATAGCAGGGCCCTCTAGGATAACAGTTCGACGAACTGAAGAGGCAACCCTGGGTATAAAAACACTATTATTACTATTATTATTATTATTATTATTATTGATATAATAGTCTGTAAATAGAGGTCCACAGTTGCAGGTTTGTAAAGAAGGTGTGTGTACTGCCACTGTCAGGTCTAACGTCCACGGTGACATGGTCTGTAAATAGAGGTCCACTGTTGCAGGTTTGGAAAGAAGAGGTGTGTATTGCCAGGTCTAACGTCCACGGTGACATGGTCTGTAAATAGAGGTCCACTGTTGCAAGTTTGGAAAGAAGAGTTGTGTATTGCCAGGTCTAACGTCCACGGTGACATGGTCTGTAAATAGAGGTCCACTGTTGCAGGTTTGGAAAGAAGAGTTGTGTATTGCCAGGTCTAACGTCCACGGTGACATGGTCTGTAAATAGAGGTCCACTGTTGCAGGTTTGGAAAGAAGAGTTGTGTATTGCCAGGTCTAACGTCCACGGTGACATGGTCTGTAAATAGAGGTCCACTGTTGCAGGTTTGGAAAGAAGAGTTGTGTATGCCCAGGTCTAACGTCCACGGTGACATGGTCTGTAAATAGAGGTCCACTGTTGCAGGTTTGTAAAGAAGAGGTGTGTATTGCCAGGTCTAACGTCCACGGTGACATGGTCTGTAAATAGAGGTCCACTGTTGCAGGTTTGGAAAGAAGAGTTGTGTATTGCCAGGTATAACGTCCACGGTGACATGGTCTGTAAATAGAGGTCCACTGTTGCAGGTTTGGAAAGAAGAGTTGTGTATTGCCAGGTCTAACGTCCACGGTGACATGGTCTGTAAATAGAGGTCCACTGTTGCAGGTTTGTAAAGAAGAGGTGTGTATTGCCAGGTCTAACGTCCACGGTGACATGGTCTGTAAATAGAGGTCCACTGTTGCAGGTTTGGAAAGAAGAGGTGTGTATTGCCAGGTCTAACGTCCACGGTGACATGGTCTGTAAATAGGGTCCACTGTTGCAGGTTTTGTAGGTTTATGCATAATTCATCCGAAAAAAAATTACAAGCAGGAAAGAGGTGGGGGCCGGGGGGGGGGATTTCCAGCTTCATTTGCTCACTTATATAGAATAGAATATACAGGAAGGCCTAAACTCTGATTGAGTATTCACCCCCCCCCCCCCCCACCATCGCTCCGCTTCCTTGGATTATCTCGAGAATATTACGCACGCACACACACAAGTCCATCAACATTATCTCATCATCATAGTGATCAGCATCATTATCACCTTCATCACCCTCATCGTCATCAACATCACATTATCATAATCACCATCATTACCGTCATCATAATCACCATCATTGTAATCGTCAACATCATCGTAATCATTATCACCATCATCATCACAACCATTATCATCATAAACATCATCATCGTCACCATCATCATAAACATCATAATCATCATCACAACCATCATAATCATCTTCATTATCATCATCATCATCATCATCATCACCACAACCATTATCATCATCGTCATCAACCGTATCACGATCATCTTAATGATGATGCAGTATTCATTTTGTGAATTATATTTTTATGGATAAACTTTATTTCTTTGACAAAATCCAGTATGAGAGATGGCATAGCAAGGTCATTGAAGAATACAATATTTGACACAAGGTATACTGAAATGTTCCTGATGAGATGTATAGAGATTCATGGATTCCAGCTAATAAAGACAAATTCCAAATAAAGACAAATATAAATAATAAACACAGTCAAGTAAATATAACAAGTAAACATATAGCAGTGGCTTTCT